ATGAAAGCAAGAAGAGAAAAGAATCAATTAAATGGCACAGCTTCTCCTGGAGCTCTCAGACTTTTCCATCATTTTCACTTTCCTCTTAGTGATTTACAGGAGCCTTCCTGGTGCGTTAGCCGGGCTTTCTTGGCTGCATCATTCCCCCCAGTATTCCTAAGACAGGCAAAGCTCCCACTAAATTCAAGCCTAATGGGGTACATTGCAGGAAGAGAAGCCAATTTCGGTTTTAGTGGGATATCTACAACTGAAGCAGGAGTATTTTGTATACATTGCCCTGAGTTGGCTTTCACACTAGTGTTTTGTTGCTGCAACTCTCAGTGAAGTTTGATTTACACCAGGCAGTGCAGAACTTATTATCCACATCATTAAGGACCATCTGTCTCAGAGGGAAAGTGTCTTGTGGAAGTTGGTATGGAAGGAAATGTTGATATTCCCAAATGAACAGCATAGGGAAAATGCAGTAGTATTTGAATGAAGAGTGAGCCAGACCCTCAGAAATCCGGTTGGGTAGCAAGTGTGTGTGCCCAGTAACCATTCTACCTGTGTGAGTAAGGAATTGAGAAGTTTACAAGTGGATATGGGAGTGATGGCTGTGTTGACAGGTAGGAGCGAGGAAACATTTATGCCTAGACATAATTCGCTGGGGACACCATTCTATTTGTTTTAGCACATCTAGCAATGCAGATGTGGCTGGAAGAGGGTTGTGTGTGGGGGGGCTGTGTCTTTCAGTATAGCTATTTACTAACTTATATTCCTTAACTCTTTCTTTTACGGACATTTGAATGCTCTGTTTCAACAAACACCTGTTTGTCACTATTTTATCCAGTCTCAGGTGAGCATAAGGGTAGTTATTTGAAAAAAACAGTGCAGAGAGAACACCTGAGACTGAAAACAGTTTTAGTTTCCTCTCTTTAGCATTTTTGTCAGATACGTTCAAATAGTACATTAGGCAAAAAGAAAGCTGCCTAAAGGGTTACTGAAACAGCATCACTTCAGCTGTGAAAAGGACCTCCGTGATGAATGCCCTTAGCACAATCAGGGACAGATGGGCTGTCCTGCATGGTCCTCAGACCTCCTTCTGCCTCTATACATGTTCACATTCCCCTCAATCCATGCACAGACCAGAGAGGCCATTTCAATTAACCTTGTGTGGCAGGTGCCACACCTGCAGGATTGAGCATCTCTCCTGCATGACAGCAGAAAATAGCAGTATTCTAGCATTTCTGAAAATTTTTCTTTTGTTTTTAAGTGTCTTCAAATTGTATGTATGTGTCAGTCCAGCAATAAAACCCTAGCTGTCAATGGCTATTTCTGCCTGAACCTCTCTCCGAAGCCAAGGTGGCTGCGACACACCAGTCAGAGAGTGTGGTGTGAGCTGACATGTTAAATGCCTGTCACTTCCCTGAAACTAATGCTGTGTGTCACTAAATACTCCAGCCATCTCCCACACTTCTGAAAGCAATTTCCACTCTATTAAGCTCTACTCTTTATGGTGTCCAGGAAGCTAGAAATAGGCTTCATTTTACCTAGAGCTTAGCAATCACCACCACTGTACCCTTGGGTGTGTTATTAAATCAAGGCAATTGAATCAGATTCTGTTGGCAGCTATTTGATGTCAAACCTGGACTAATCCTAAATTTACAGCTGATGTTAGTTAGGAGCTAAAAGTTTGTTACTTCAAGTTTTAGCTGCTGTATATTACAGGCTGTTTTAAAGATTCAAAGTTGTCTAGAAGCAGCCAGGGCAAATGTCCTACAGAATAACTTCTCAAGAGGATAGTTTGATCTGCTCTCTGTGCTCTGAAATTACCTGCACAGTGAACTGAGGAACTTCTGTATGAGAAGGGAGGTTAACTAAAATGATAGCAGCTCGGTTTTGTTCTCTATAATTCTGCTCTTCTATAGAAGGTTACTACATTTTCTTCCCAGAACTCCCAGTTCCTTTCAGGAAGGATGACCCCTTTCCTTCATACACCTGTGAGTCCAAAGAAGAGTCTTCGTGCAGCAGAGGTAAGGAGACATCTATGGGATTTATGCGGATTTTCCTGTGCTTGGACATATGCAGGCTGCCCCAGTCCTGGTTCTCAGGTGAAGGTTATTAAATACCAGGGACACAGCTCCCCTGAGAGACAACTGTGTTACAGAGCTTCCCAGGTGTATCTGAAGATGGTCTCACTGGGAAGGCCTTACATTAAGTAATTTAATTGTATAGACTCAGCCAAAGTGCCTGCAAAGTGCTCAGGAACAGCTGGATGTGAGGAAGTCGCTGGTGGGTTGGGTGGGTGCATTGTGTGACCACCCACCTTACCCAGAACATAGAAATGAAACCTGCAGCAAATGTTGTGTCATTTCCCCTTTGGAAAGACTTCAGAGCTTGTCCTAACTTGGATTCAAGAAAGTCCTGTGTCTAATAGTGGAGAACTCCAGAGACTTTGAAGGGTGCCCCTTACTGTCTGTGAAGGGGCTACTCTAACCCTCCCCTTCCACCCCCAAGACTTCTAGATTTTGAAATCCTTTTCTTTTTTTTATACTAACTTGTAATAACATAAAATCAGCTCTGCTGGGTTGTGTAAAAAAATAGAAAACAAACATACCCTATCTTACTCTATCCTTTAAGGAGTAGAGCCTTCTCTCCTGCCCTGATTTCAGAGCCAGCAGTTGATGGTAGTTTCTTGGTCTGTGAAAGATGTCACCTGGGGATCCAGAGAGCTTCTTGCTTTCTTCCATCAGGGTTATTTATGTGTAAGACCCCCTGTTCCTTTCCAGTCCCACCGTGTGCTGCAGGCTGCCAGCCTGCCCTATCCTTCCATCACTGCCCACATCTCCTCTTGCTCCTGCAGGGTTGCCACACCACAGGCAAGGCAAATAGGCAGGAATCCATCCTTCCCACCAACAGCCTTTAAGAACACGTAACTTACAGCAACAAATCTAACAAATATGGTCCCTAGTGCAACAAGCCTTGTGGTGCTAAACCACATCACTTAGCATTTACACACTGCATTCCTCATTGAAGAAAGTACTTTTCCTAACTTCATTCACTCTCACCACTCTCTGCATATCACGAGGGAAATCAGGAGCATTTAACATTCTTGATGATAGACAAGGCTGGACTCAAACAGCTTTGTTATTTTTCCTGTTTTCCCACCCTCAGCATCCCAGCTGAGTTGACTTTTGATGGCTGCAGCCCATACTTGTGACTGGAAGTCTTATGCAATACAAGGGGCAGGATCCTGTCCCTTTGATGAGAGCTGGGTATGGTCCTGGCAAGGCAGCCAGGGAGTGGAGCTGAGGCTTGTGGCAAGCAAGGAACAGGTGTCAGCAGAGGAGATGGATTGAGAGAGCAGTTCTAGAGGCTAAGAGCTACGATGTGGAGAGGAGGATGGTGGTGAAGGGCTGGTTGGGCTGAAGAGGTCATTTGGATTGGCTGTTTGCCTCAGGTGGGAGAGAATTTGGGACAAATGCTGGTGGAAGGATTCAAGCACAGAAAGGTTTAGTGATTTTTTGAATTATCTTGGTGGAGGTATGTAAGGCAGGACATGGTAACAGGGTTGGAGAAGAGGACATTAGTTCTGACACAGGGCTCGGGCATGGGGATGCAGAGTAGATGTCCCTGGAGGTGAGCAATTTGAGGTGTGAGGGGTAATGCTGGGAAAGGCCTTCAACCTGTGGGAGCTGGGGGCTGATTTCCATGTCAGGAGAATTACAGGGCAGGTAGTGTTCCTGTGGAGTGGCTGCCCCTCACCACCTGGGCACCTGCCCAGTCCCTACATACCACCAGTGCTCCCTGCTCCCAGCAGGACAGGGCACTTCCCACCAGCAGAGACACTCCTTCACTAGGGGACAGGGTACCAGGAGAGCACACAAAACCCACCCCACAGCTCTGTGCCACTCCAGTCACTGCTCCTGTGGGGTAGATGCCAAAGGCCCATCAGTTGCCCACATCCCAGGAAAAGACCCAAGGGCCTGCAGGGGATATTTGGCATGAGGTACCCATGGGTGGCCGTGGCTCATGGTGCTGCACTTCACCTAGGCGAGGAGCTGCTCAGCACAAAAGGGAACAAATAAGGACAGCTACTCTAGCCCTTTAATCATCTGGCACCCTACTTTTAATGTATGTAAACATATCTGTCTGCCAGTGCTCCTCTCTCCTTTAAACTGACATAACTCCTTGTTCCGATGAATTTCTCTGGTAGAGACCAGACCCATACATTCAGTTTTTACAACAGCCAAATTAGGCTTATGTAGATGGCACTTGTTTTTGGAAAAGATAGTACCTAAACATTGGTGTTGATTAATACTTTGATTAATTAATAAGATACTGATTAGAGCCCAATACCTCTGTAAACTAACATTTACAAAACCATGCAGGCATTGTAGGGGTGAGATATGCTGCTTTAAAAAAATAACCTAGTAATATGCTCATTCAGCTAGATATTTTTACTATAAATCAAATGAACATTATACTATTTCTGTTGAAACTTTCTGTACACTTACTTTCAAAGAGCTAAAGTTTCTTTTTTAGAAACACTCAATTTAACTCCCCTATAAACTTCCTTTGCTTTAATAGTAAATTAAATATACCATGAATTAAATTACTTGATTATAAATCCTTCCTGAAACATTCTTGATATATAAATCATACTGTAATTAAAAGCTAGAACAAATATTTTTAGATTTGCTCCTTAAAATACATTGATTCTTTTCTGCATCTCTGCTCAAACTATAGCTTCATGTCTCATTGAAAATTACATTTTTTCTGGAAAGAGGAACAGAGACCTATTCAAAAAGTTGACCCCAAATTACATTTTACAAAAACAAGACCATTTATTCACTCTAATATTCTGCATGCAGCTTATGCTGATACTTTCAATATCTCTAGGCTGAAACTGCTTGTAACATTTTGCTGTAAGCCTGAATCTAATTCAAGTGAGAGGCTGTTTTAATTTTTTTAAGGAGCAGTTCTGCTAGATGCAAAGGCATTGAAGAGAGCCTGGAAGACACAATCTGTGCGATGCTGCTCTTTATTGTCACAGGTACAGAGTTCTGATGTGGCGATGCTGCACATTCAGGTCATTGAACATTTACCGATGGGGAAGGACTTTTCAGTCTCTGAAATGGTTACAAATGGCTTTTGTCAGAACATATTCAATATAAGCAGTCTGATCTCAATGGAGTCCTACTATTTTATTTGGGATAATAATGGCAAAGTCTTACCAACTGTTGATGGAGATGCCATGGGGTTAGTTTATATTCATGTTGGAAAAGCAAAGCAGTGCTCCCTCCCAACTCTGACAGAACTGCAGCTCTCTTCAGTAGCTGATTGCCAGGTTGTCCCGATCTGTAGCTTAGCGCTGACAACAGTTCACAGTTTATTTGCAGCTTTGAAGTCTGGTCCTATAGTGTTTCTCTTCTGACAGCAGATGAATAAAGGTGTCACTGTGGGAGACTTTTAGCCGGCTGCTATAAAAAGGACCCTCCTTGCCTTCCCTTGAAAGATCCTCTAGTTCACTTTTGGAGCCTGCGGCTTTCCCCTCGGCTGAGTTTAGCTCCATCAGCTCCAATTCATGCTTGGCAGCTGTTTCTAAAACTCTCTGCTTGTTATAATACCTGACAAAGTTGTTAATGATTGGGTGGATGGGAAGGGCGATTGCTATCACCCCACAAAGAAAACTGATGGCAGCATTCAGTTTTCCTAGTGTTGTTTTAGGATATATGTCTCCATATCCAACTGTGGTCATGGTAATGATTGCCCACCAAAATGACTGAGGGATGCTTTTAAACAAAGTTTCAGGGTGACTTTGCTCCATGGTATAACCTAGGGCAGAAAAGACAAAGATACCAACAGCTAAGTACATGAGGAGCAGCCCGAGCTCCTTAAAGCTGCGTTTCAGGGCATAGGTTAGGGTCTGGAGCCCTGAGGAGTGCCGTGCAAGCTTGAAAATCCTTGCGATCCTCATGATGCGCAGCGCCTGGACGGCCTGCTGAACATTGCTCAGCTCCATCAGCTTGGCTCCTAGGTGGGTCAAGGTCAGGCTGACATAGAAAGGAAGTATTGCTAGCACATCAACAATGTTCATAAAAGAAAGGGCAAAGTGGAGTTTGTTGGGAGAGGAGATCAGCCTCAGCACATACTCCATGGTGAACCAGCCTATGCAGGCTGTCTCTATGCTGTCCAGGGTTGGGTGTTCCATACGGTTCCCCTCTGCATCTACGACCTGCAAATCTGGGATGGTCCCGACACACATCACGACAGAGGAGATCAAAATAAACAGAAAGGACAGAACAGCAACCACTCTAGCTGGATAGGATGATTCTGGCTTCTCCAGAAATTTCCAGATGCATTTTTGGCACCTTTTCCAGCGACTTTCTGAGGCATCTACTCCCAAGTCGTCCAGAATAAGTTGCACCCTTCGGGCTATTTCTTCCAGTTCCTCCTTTTTTTCACTTAGATGAGTTTTGCAGCAGTCATCCAGAAATTTCAGATCCACTTTCCAAAATTCCATTTCATTCTTGAAACATATGGGGCATATTCCCTTCTTCATATGAATTTCCCCAAAGTAATATACGTCAATAATGCATTTGAAAGCATCTGGGTCTCTGTCAAAGTAAAACTCTCTCTTTCCAGGATCATAGTCATCACAGAGGGAGAATATGCTATCGTATCCCCCAGATAAACAATTGATCAGCTCTGCCAGCCGTGTTTCTGGGTATTGATTCAGGTTATCTCCGTAGAACACCTGCCTTACTCCACCGACATTGACTACAATCTCCATTTCTTCACTTTTTTCTGATCCATCAATCTCCGCATCTGGAAACGTAGAGTCACCTGCCATTTTAGTTGTATTTGATTTTATTGGATTTTTAGCCCCTTGTTTGGTTTCACAGCTTTGTGGTTTTAATCTCTCATGAAAGCAAATCAGCACTGAGCCAGCTCTACTACAAATGTCACCAAACTGACCTGGAGTCGTGGCGGGAAAGGTTATAGATAGAAACCTGCAGTCGGAAAAGCTGTGTGAGGTATGCAACAAGCTGCACGGAAAAGACAAGTCATCGGGCTACTGTGCCTGCAAGCAGGATGTTAGAAAGCTCCAGCAGACTGGAAAGAGAAGAAACCATTTAGTAAAACTCACCACTCTGTTCAGTGCTCGAGAGTCTTTTCAGGTCCCATTCTCTCTCTAAAAGTGATATCTATTCACAGCTTGGAAGTCACGGCAGAGAAATAAATCCTGAGCTCTGATTAATGCAACGTGCAGTGAGTGACAGTTCTCAGAGTGACAGTCGGTGTGGTGAGTCCACAGAAACTGCCACGGCTTCTCCCTTCGATTCCACAGATTTCCCTAGAAAGCTGCGTTTGAATTTTGTTTCTCTTTCCGTTCTCTGTTTACTTTAAGGTCTTCCAGAGTTCATCTGCTGACTCTTGCACATAGTCGGTCGGTGCAAGCATGCAGAGGAGAAACTTGTGCTTGTTTTCCCTTCGCTGTTTCTCAGCACAATAGGGAGCCTAGGCTGCCAGGAGTCCTTTCCAAACTCTACCCTCTCCTGGTGAAACCCAGCAAAGCATCAGCGGCACAGAAAGCACATCTCAGCTTTATATACGCCTGCCAAACAGTACAATAATGTGTTTCTATCCTACCAGGAACTTTACTGAGTTTTAAAAACATTTTTAAAAAACCTAATGCAAAGCATAACTGTGTATAAAGTCATTCAGAGCTGCAGAAAGACACACAAACACTGATTCCTCGTGGCAGAAACCAGAAGTAATACTGTGTATTGGGAATAAATATACGGTATAAATTTTGCTCTCAGTGGGACTGGAGAAACTCTGGACCGTCTCTGTCCTGTGTCAGGACATTGAGTTAATGTAGATTTGCACTGGTGTCATTGCAAAAGGGGCAGACACCATGAAGTTTTGGTTGCAGCTGTGGAGCAAATTTGCCCCTGTACTCTGTGCACATTCCCCAGTGCTGTGGGTCCTCAGTTTTAGCAATGTTTCCCTGATCTGCAGTCAACTGCGCCTGAGAAAGGTTTCAGTAATTTACGTCTATGATGATTTCTCAGGGCATGCTGTTTACCAAAAACAGTGTTTTGTACTACATCCAGCACTTAAAAAGCAAAAGTAGAATAACAAGCATTTAATTTTAGCTTAGTTTTCTCCAAATTCCAGGATCTGATGGACATCTGTTTCCCAGACCCTTACATGCAGGAAGGCCTACCACCCTGCTCTTAAATTCTTAAACCTGACTCTACAGTTCATTTTAGTGCATCCACCAAAACCTACAGTTCATAATTTAACTGTTTCTGGCCACCACAGAATGATATTTTTCAATTTACTGGTTTCTGAAAAGCTTCTCAGTGGAGGGGAATAGAGAGCAACAAACCCAACTGACAGTTTGCTTCTCTAGGCTTGTGTCCATCCTGGGAGAAAGGCGAGATATGTGATGTGCCCACTGTCCTCATGCTTGTGTCACACAGTGAGGGGGATCCTGCTGAGTATACAGTGCTCCTGTTCCACTCTCTTGCCAGAAGCTTATGGGTGATTAGTAAGAGTGCACCAGACCTCATTTGGAGTATGCACATACATCACATACCCAGGAAGGGGTAATATCAGGTCCCAGGAAAAGGGTGATATCTTTTACACCTGAGTCACACAATCTCTGGAGGCTAGTGTCACCTTCGTGTGCTCCTGAGGGCGCTGCATAGTGTTGGTGTAATACAAGATGTCCCTTGAACTGTTTTCCAGGCACATATAAGTTTACCGAAACTTGCAAGCTTCTTGGGACAAGAGCAATACCTTGGAGAACTGGAAACCCCCTGTTTTGTGGGTTCATCAATAAACAATTATCCACTTAGGGCTTTCCTGCTCATTAACATGAACGGTTTAGCTTGATTTTAGCAAAATAAATATTAAGATACCAATAGTAGTGACATGTTTGCGTGGAAAAAAATACCGATTGGATTACTGAGTATCTGATCCTAACAAAACAAAACTGAGCTCCAGGAAAGTTAGGTTTCAAATTTCATCAGGCTGCATCAGAACAGGGAAACAGGTTCTTTGGATGTAAATCCTCAGATTTAACCATCTCAGATCCTACTCTCTTTGATCAATGATTCATTCCAGTGACCTTTTGATTTTTCTCTACGTAGTGATAAGAAATCAATGTAGAGTCCAGCATGACCGACACAGAAAGCACCACCTCTGTTTCCAAAAAGGTTTTTTCCCCCCGCACCATTTTACTGAAAAAAACCCTACAAAATAGGCACACAGGATTAGTACATACATTGTTCAGCTTGAAAGGTGAAATCAGCTCCTCTCAAATGATAAATCTCAGCACATTCTCAAAAGGTTGGGAAGAAACTATTTTTGAAATGCCAGATCCGTCCTTATAAAGACTTTACTTAGTGTGGCTGCTAAAATCCTTGTGCTTTATTCTCCCTTGTCTTGCGCTTTTTCAGAGTTCTTTACACCTTTCAGTGTGCCTGTGAAATGTTAGAGATCTGGCAGCATTTTAAAACCACTTGGGCAAATGTAAATGATCCAAAGAATGGTCAGGGAAAATCATAATTAAATTAAAACATTGTTTTTGTAGCTGAAAAGAGTGGCACAAGCTTACTTGATGAATATTTTGTATCAGACATATCGTAGAACAGCAAACAATAGGAGCAGAATGATAATTTGCAGTAAATAATTTATTTCTCTAATTCATTTGTCACCCATGAAAAGAGAGCTTCTCTAATCTAAAAATTTCAATAGATAATTGTTGCCTTGTAATTAATTTATGACCAGTTTCCTGCAATTATTAGGGCTTCTAAATTCAAGTTCTGTTGATTTACCTGATAAGGCCAAACAGGTCAAGCTGTGTTTTGTGTCTGCTGGAAGCAATGTGTGCTGGCAACTGAATTCTTACAGACCCAAAAAGAAACACAGAGGGTTTTTTTCTGTGTCGGCGCTTTGGCTCAGAGAACAATGTGCATTTGAGCTGACAGTGGTGTTAAATTTTGGCTGTGGTTCAGACAGGATCCTTCAGGGAGGAGGAGGCTCAGCTGGACATCAAGCCCTGAAGCCCGAGAGGACTCCTGGGTTGCTGGGCAACCCCACCAAATCCAGGCTCAGCCCCAGCAGGGACACAGCATCTCCCTGGTGTGCTTGAACCCCAACAAGGGCTTGGTCCACAAGATATAGGTGGAGCTTGAATATGGCTCCCCAGTGGCACTGGGCTCCACGTGAGGGACATGGGTGTCACAGAGCACCCACAGTCCAGCACCTGGGGACCTGTACTGGCAGCAGTGCGCAGAGGATGCTGGCGCTGAAAGTCTGGCTCCCTCACTGGCCACATTTTGGGAAAGGACATTCACCCCTGGGTAGCTCTGTGCCAGTCTGCGAAGACAGGCTGCTCCTCTTGAGCTGTACACTGGCTCATACCTTGCTCCTGAGTCCCAGCCAACACCTCTGCCCTCCTGTCTGACGCACCCAGCTGCTCCCCACACAGCTATGGGCAGTAGTGGTGCACAAAGGACTGTGAATGGGTTAGGAGCCACACCTAGGGAGATACGGTTGGATTCCACATGAGGAGGGGTGTTTAGTGCAGAGGCAGGACTTGGACAACCTCTCTGCAAGCAGGCTGTGATGCAGTCAGACCCTGACTGCAGTGCCTGGGACCATCTGACCTCTCCATCCTTCCAAATCAAGAAAGTGTTTAGTGCTGTGTCTACACAGGTAAGCTCAAGAAAACGTGAGGACTTGATTATGACCGTCCAAGCAAGAAATAGCTAGAGCATGTCTGACACAGGTCCAGCCCACACTGACCAGCTAAAATGGTCCAGCCCTCATGTGGACATCAGAGACCATTTCAAATAGGCTATTTGAAAGCAGCATCAATAGTGGAGATTAAAATGACTTCTTAAACTAGAAGGAGATGAGTTGTCAGTTGGCCTCAGTGCCTACAGACATCCCTGGGCACATGTAAATCTCGTCATACTCAGTATAACCACACACACACACATTTCTGCTGTGTCATATTTGGGTTTTAGATGACACTCGCAATACTGAACCTGTGATGGATCCAGCGAGAGACCTCAGCATCTAACACACAATTTATTTTCAGCTAGATGCAGACTATGGAGATCTACTCAAGACAGGAGCATGTGATCAAAACGTACTATAGAGAAGTCAGAGACCTAAAGGAGGAAGGAGAATGGGAATATCTTATTCCTCCTTTCCCTGAGGCACTGTGTGGATAAAGCTTTCAGCCAGCTGCATGGTACTGCTTCATCAGCTGATAGCACAAGGCTCTGTGTGGAAAAAGCACCACGTAATTACTTACTGCCAATCACAAGAAATGGGAGGCAGATAATCTGGAAAAACAGGAAGTGATGAACTGGGGACAGGGATGGGGGCTTCCTGGTGCAAGGACTCCAGAATGTGCCAGCAGGAAGGGTCCCACTGGAGCCAATGGGTGGGAGCTGCCATCAGGTGCTGGGGCTCCATGACTGACTCATTTCAGTGGAAAAATCCTTGATTTTGGATTTTTTTCTTTTCTTCATTCTAGATTTCAGAAAGAGGATGTCATCCAGAGCAGCTCCTCAGACTGCTTTATAGCCAGACTTAGTAAGAGGTGCAGGAAAGATTTTGCTGTAAGAATCTTTTAGGGTTTCCAGATATAAGGTGGATTCTAGTGGTTAGTGCAGCAACCTTATTGAAAGATCCATCACACTCTCTTCGGAAAATTAATCCAGCTACTGCAATATGCTGGTTTATCATTTATAGCTCTATATTGCAAATCCATTTTCAAATCACACCTTCTTTTATCCTTATAACGTGCTCTGCAATAAAGCTGTCTGATTTGACACATCAAGAAAACATGGGATTGCATTCTCACGGGTGCTGTGGTTTCCAGCATGGACAGGGGGCACTGCCACAGCACCGGTACCAGGCCCATGCATCTCCCCAGTGCATCTGCAGGACAACAGTGCATGACTTGCTCTCATGGACTGTAATGCCTGAGTGTGTGGGAGAAGAGTGTTGTGGGCACTGATCGTCTGCAGGAAACCTTCGTGATGCCACGGTAGCAGCTCATGGTCCCAGCACTGATGGATGTCTTGTGTCTGTAGCCACGAGCTACTGGCGGGAGTCTGAGCCTCGACACAAAACATGTCCATAGCCCACTGCTGCTATTTCTGGCAACAGATGAGTCTTTTAAATCCCTTGATATGGGAAAAGAAGGGTCCATCAAATGCAAAGTGAGTGAAACAAATTCTCTACATTTAAATACATCTTCATGCTTTGTATGATGTTTCTCAATACACTGGGCTTCCTTTAGCTTGATCTGTTACAAGCAAGAGGTAATGAAATGTCTTAACTGAGGTGGGTATCTAGACTACACCACACACCTTCACCTTGCAAATTGGGTTTATGTGTGAAACAGAGCAGGGCCCTGAAGGAGTTAACTCAGAATGCAAGCTCTGGGTAAAGAACTAAAGGAACCAGAATTCAAGGCTAGTGAAAGATAACACCTGGCCAAAGAATGCTAACACACTAACACAAAGAACATAAAGTAAGAA